GAGATTATTTATAATATTATCATGTCCTTCGTTCATGCACAGATAAAAAATAAATAAATACATTAATAAAGGTAATGAATGTATGACTTGAAAAAGGATATGTATATTTTCATATGCAGCATAAATCTGAGCGCTTATGAATGCACATTTCGTGGTATTTTGGTTGTCTTGATTCCAATATATTCATGAATAGATTATATATCTTATTTTCCGTCCCATTTTCTCAGGTGTTCTCTATAGGAGGTACTAGGCATTTTTTCATGCGTGGAAAGGATATTTTCCGGGGAATGTAGATAATTATTGATCACAATCATGTGCTTGCAAGTATTTATTTGTCTGAATTAAATTTTAAAATAAAATGTCTTAAATAAGGGCTTTTAATTATGCTTAGTTATCCTTGCAAGTATTTTTTTTGATAAATATTCTTGCGAGTCTACTACCATCAACACAGTATGTAAACTGTTGAGAAAATTTTGAGGGGCGCTAACACCACCCGAGTGGAGAGAACCTGCATTCCTTGAAACGGTAACTTAGTTTTCTTTTTTTCTTTTTTTTTCGCCACTGGTCAGCTTACTAGCCATTTGGGCGCAAGGATTACCAGCAATTGAGAGCAGCAACGAAAAATTCCTACCAAACCTTAGGAAATATACTGTAAGTCTTACCCAAAAATGCAAGGATAAGAAATTGCTCCTTTAACATTTCAAGTCCATCAGTTGTCCCCATCTGGACACCTGTATAATAGGCATGGAGACCAATCCACCAGACATAACTGGCTGTAATAACTCAAACTGTCGACGGCCAGCAAACAAAGCAGCCAAGCAGTCAGACATAACAATCCCTAGAAATGATACAACACAGAGCGACTCGGGTTATTCCTGAACTAAATCGTCTGGATTATTCAAGTGACTCAAGTAAGGGCCTTATGACTGACAACTCTTCAAACAACATACGATAGGTGGATCTCATAGAGACATTAAAATTCTTGGAAGAGATGGAAAACGTAAACCCAGATAAATTTTTCGAGATGTCACGCTCCATCAACACAAGAAGACAACTTCAAACTAGCTAGGGTGCCGTGCAGGACAAATATAAGTAAGTACTTTTTCACTCAGAAGGTGGTAGATTTATGGAATAATGTACCAACACAAACAGTGGAAATGAAATTAGTACTGGGCTTCAAAATATCCTTTGATAAGACTATCAAAAACAATGGACGGATCCTACACAGGCCACTGGCCTCCTCCCGTCTCAGCCACTTCAAGTTCAATTAATAGTCATTAGGTGAATTAATGGTAAATGATGATCATTATGAATCTTATACTATTTCTAATTATCATTGAGTCTTTTATCAGTATTATTTTGTATCTTTTGTAATTATCCTTGTGAATTTTATATTTTCTATATTTTTGTCTTCTACCGTTCATAATTGTCGTCGTAAGTCTAATTATTAATTACTTCATGTATCTAATTTGTCCTTGTGAGTCTTACCATCTGTAGGCCTAATTACCCCCAAATCTTATATTTTACATAATAATCTTTGCAAGTCGTCTGCCATCTAAAAATTATCCTTGTGGGTCTACTAAGATTATCCTTGTGACTAGTATATTCTAAAATTATCTTTGCGAGTCTTTTGCCATCTATAATTATCCTTTTGAGTCTCATATAATTATCCTTTGGAGTTTTGCAACTGTAATCACCGATGTTCTATTGATTATCCTTACGAGTCTTCTATTTTCTAAAAATTTCCTTGTTAGTCATTCATTAGAATTATGATAAATAACAATTTAAGGAGATTAACTTACAGTGTAGCGTCAATATTATTATACAGTTCGTGAAGTAAGGAGGCTGACTCGTGCCAAGATCAATAGAAGACGGTAACAAGAGGAAAGTGGTGCAATATTGCATCACGTTGCGTTCTTGAGCACTGTCGCTATTATATGGTGAAACTAACAATGGATATATCGATAATACTGTTCGGCAATAGTAAACATGTGACTGCATGTCAGGGGCTGATCCAGGTGGGTCCTGGGGTCTGATTTTCATCAGAGAATTCTTATACTTCTTTAATGCAGTATTGTGTACTTGTGTGTTTTTGAATAGTAAAAGTAATTACTATTGACCTCAGAATATCTCCTAATATCAAGTGCACATGGCTTCAAAAGGACCATGATAAGATATTGGCGAGTAGGGTTAAAACTGAGATAAGGAAAGCCAAGAGGAATAATGAGGTAAGGATAGCAAGGGAGGCAAAGACAAACCCCAAAGGATTCTACCAAATGTATCAAACTAAAACACGAGAAAAGATTGGACCAATACGGTCAGATACCGGCGAGCTCACTGATAACGATGGAGAAATCAGCAATAATTTGAATAAATATTTTTCAACAGTTTTCGCCACCGAAAATTTAAACATGATACCCGAGGCACCGACTCCATTCAGAGATAGTGAAGAAAACAAATTAAGCGAGATAGTAGTGACTAGTAACGATGTTAGTAAGCAAATAGACAAACTAAAGCCTGATAAGTCACCTGGTCCCGATGAGATATTCGCCAGACTATTAAAGGAATGTAAGGAAGAGCTTAGTATGCCCTTAGCAAAGTTGTTTAACATGTCCTTAAAAACAGGTGTAGTACCAGAATCCTGGAGGATAGCGAATGTAATACCGATTTTCAAGAAGGGGGATAGATCACTATCCTCTAACTACCGCCCAATCAGTCTAACATCAATAGTAGGCAAATTACTGGAAGCAATCATTTCAAACTCTATTCGAAATCACCTGGAGAAGCACTGACTGATCAATGATTCCCAGCATGGCTTCACAAGCGGACGTTCTTGTCTAACTAATCTATTAACATTCTTTCATCAGTTTTCGAGTCGGTGGACGAGGGGCACAATTATGATGTGGTATATCTCGACTTTAGCAAAACCTTCGACAGATGAAAGACTAATTAGAAAGGTAGAAGCACATGGCATCAAAGATAACATCCTTAAATGGATTAGGGCATGGTTACAGGACAGGAAACAGCGAGTGAGCATTAACGGCACTAAGTCCCATTGGAGCAACGTCACTAGTGGAGTTCCCCAAGGCTCAGTACTTGGACCATTATTATTTATTATATACATAAACGACATAGATATCGGCATAGACAGCAACATAAGTAAATTTGCTGATGACACTAAAATAGGACGTGTAATTAAATCTGACGAGGACTCGGCAAAACTACAGGAAGATCGAAATATTTTTTTCGAATGGTCTGAAAAATGGCAGATGAAATTCAACGTGGACAAACGTAAAGTACTCAGTATAGGAGATGGAAACAGGGAAACCAGATACCAGATGAACAACGATGCCATTGAGAAATCCGACTGCGAGAGAGATTTAGGAGTAATCATAAGTAGGAACCTTAAGCCAAGTAAACAATGTGTTTTTGCTCGTAACAAGGCTAATAAAGTACTTGGGTTCATACAAAGGAGTGTTAGTTACAAGACTAGCGAGGTCATCCTAAAACTGTATCTTGCGCTTGTGAGACCACACCTGGATTAGGCAGTTCAGTTCTGGTCACCGTAATACAGAATGGATATAAAATTCTTGGAAAGAATTCAGAGGAGAATGACAAGACTAATCCCGGGCATTAGGAACCTTGACTATAGAGACAGGTTAAAGCATCTTAATTTGCACTCCCTTGAGAGACGTAGAGCGAGGGGTGACCTGATAGAGGTGTATAAGTGGAAGTCAGGGCTAAACAAAGGGGACATTACAAAGGTACTCAAACTATCCAACCAGGAGCGAACTCGTAACAATGGTTTTAAATTAGACAAATTTAGATTTAGGCGTGAAGTAGGTAAACTCTGGTTTGGAAACAGAGTAGTGGATGAATAGAACAAGTTACCAAATATCATCATTAATTCGAATACGCTGAATAGCTTCAAACATAGGTTGGATGCTTATATGAGCAATAGGGGTTGGGTGTAAACGGGACTGCCCAGTATGGGCCAATAGGCCCGCTGCAGTTTCCTCCATTCTTATGTTCTTATGTTCTTATATTGGTCAGTTAAAAGAAATCGGGGGTGGGGGGGGGATGAGAGTTACCAGCACCCCTCCACACCTTCCCGCTGGATGGGCTTGCTTTGCTCGCCACGTTCCCCACCCAAACTTCTTGGACACACCCCCTTTAGATATTCCTGGATCCGTTTCTGCATGTTGCTTTGCAGCAAACGCATGCAAAAAGAAAAAGCGAGAGATATACTGTAGTTTACGTATATAGTAGGAGAAAGAGTATATAGAAAATTCACAGTGGCCACAATCATCATTATTCTCCGAGCCTCCTGAAGGGTCAAAGTTCTTTAAAAATATGACCCACCTTCAAGTGACCTTTCCTTTAGGATGATGTTTAGTGCAGGGCGAGGAAACCCTGCTAATCAATAACTGGCCCTATCCCTGCCTTTTGATTGGTACATTTCATTTGTGGTCTTGTGTATTCAAATACACATTTGAATTGTGCCGTATCTTATCATAAGTACAAGCACTACTTTTACTGGGTAAAAAGTGTATTAATTCAAATATCTAATTAAATTTCATGTCTATCATAGTGTGCTCGTACTAATGTATGATTCCTGTTTCTGTTTTTCCTTTGATTTTGCATTGCCCTTAAAGTTACTCAGATGGTGGCTAGCTTTGGTTTATGGCCCAGGTATTCTGGCCTCGGTGCCCTTTAAAATTGGTAAAAAGGCCAATTTTTATATTTTTTTTCATAAAAAAGAGTAAATAAACCGAAGGATATTTGAGTTAAAGAGATAATATACATGGGAGAAAGAAAACTGGAAATAAATGGGAAACATATCTATTACTTTTACTTACTTACTTTTATCCTCTTCACCACTTATCGGCTCGTTAGAACCACAGGTCACTCCCAATACAGTATATTAAATTGTTTGTGCCTGTAATGAAAGGTAAAAGGCACCAAAAGAAAACGTAACCTTTATACAGGGAGGTGGGGGACTTTAAACTTGTGCCGTGCAGTGTAAACAAGACGACGGTCAGGAAGGTGGAGTCAAAACAATTCTTATTGAAAATACTCGTGAGACAACAGCAAACAAGAAGTAAAATCATATAGTAAACTACAGGGAAGAAATATTCATGTAAACGGAACATATTGAAGAAACACAAGAAAATGGCTATGAGGTTAAGTGTGGGAGGTCTCCGGCAGCTGAATAAAGCGTGTGTTAGAGTGGCAGTGATGGAAAAAGGTGTAACAGCAGTTGGCAGAGGGATGTGGAAATATACCTCTCGGGACCTCCACACTACCACTGCCACTCCCAGTTACTCTAAGCTACCCAGACTTCAACACACAATTTCAGAGTCATATGAACAGGTAAAATATGGTATTATTTCACTTATTGCCACTACACAAATCCCGGGAATTGGTAATTTTGACAATTTTAAGGGTATTATTATCGTTTCGGTTATTCAGCAAATATTATGGTAAATATATAGGACTAACCCTCGGGCGAAATTGATTGAAAACAATTATAAAAACGCTGGATTTTCATTGTTATATTTGGGTCCGACTAATTACCCAAATGTACCCAAATGTAACCGCAATTAAGTCAAATAATGGTCCTACAAGAATAAATCGGACTGCCAATCACTTCTCGACTAGTATTTGGTGTCACAAAGTAAAAAAAAATTGGAAAACGTAATTTAGTCTGAGTTAATAGATCGCGTGCATGTACCGAGGGAGCGAGTAATTACCCAAATGTACCCAAATGTAGCCGCAATGAAGTCAAATAATGGTGCTACAAGAATGAATCGGACTGCCAATCACTTCTCGACTGATATTTGGTGTCACGAAGTCGCAAAAAATTGGTAAACTTAATTTAATCTGAGTTTATAGATCGAGTGCATGTACCTAACCTAACCTAACCTAACCCAGATTAAATTAAGTTTACCAATTTTTTGTGACTTTATGACACCAAATAATAATCGAGAAGTGATTCACAGCCCGATTTACGCTTGTAGAACCATCATTTGACTTCATTGCGACTACATTTGGGTACATTTGGGTAATTACTCGCTCCCACGGTACATGCACGCGATCTATTAACTCAGATTAAAGTAAGTTTTCCAATTTTTTTTTACTTTGTGACACCAAATACTAGTCGAGAAGTGATTGGCAGTATGATTTATTCATGTAGGACCATTATTTAACTTAATTGCGGCTACATTTGGGTAATTAGTCGGACCGTTATATTTTAGTGGACACTTGTAGTTTGTGGAAATATGTTAAAAACGGATTTTTTAAAATAAACACTACTTAACATTTGTGGTTATGAAGAACAGACCTAATCAACCAAACCAAACAAACCTACCTAACCTTACCAAACTTCCTCAGTATATTAAACAGAAAGAATTTACTATGATATGGTGAAATTTGAGGCATTTCTGTATGTGAGGTGATATGGCCGCATCGGCTCTATGCAGCTCGGCGGGTTAGTCCTATATATTAACCAATATTATGAATTTAAGTTTTGGAATCGGTAGTTTAGACCATGCATGGGCAACCTTACCTCAGTCATGGGCTGCATTATGATTTAGGTATTTTTCTGTGGGCCAACCCACCAAAATTTATATCCTACCTAGCCCAAAAGTAATGTTAATATTGTACAGGTATTATCATGGACAGGTAAACAGTTTACCATCAGTTCCACCTGATGATATTTTCAGTTTACAATCATAATCTTTTTCCCATTTATGAAGCAAATCCATCATAAAAATTTTTTTAAGTAAAATATTAATGTTTCTTGGCATGTAACAGAAGATGAGTAAAGCAGTCTGTGAATACGTTGATTTTTCCTTCTGTTACAGCAATTTCCTTACTTATGAGACAGACATCCACCAGAATAATGTCAATGTTAATATTGCTTCATTGTCCAGTAATATCTCTGTTAGCCGGAATCCCTCACACCCGGAACTCTCCGATAGCCGGAATTGAAATTTTCTCAGAAAATCGTTCCCAAAACTGGAATTTTCCGGAAATTACAGCTTTGGGAAACATTTTCTGAGGGTCTTTTTTCCGGAAAATTCAGAGAAAAATTTCTCATACCTGGAAAAGTACACATAAAAAACCATTGGAAAAACATAATTTTAACTTTGATTTCGTATAGTGGCAACAAGTGAAAATTTACTGTAAATATTTGGGAAATACAGTAGTTTATAACTTCATTAAGTTAAAAGGAGCCTTTCTAGGGAAAATTTCTGGGTAAAAATTCCTTTTAGTTACATCACTGAAACTACTACTTTACTTAACAAAAAATAGGTTTGGTAATTTCTGAGAGCAGCACAGCACAGTTGTTCATATCATTATAGTGCCTGTATTATAAGTATGTACCGTATTTTAAAAGAGGCAACATTTACTAGACCTAATAGAACTTGACCTGGTAAATACTATACAGTATTTAAAAGTTGCCATCACCTACTTTTATGTATTGAGTTTTATATAGGAAGAAAGAGAGAAAAACCAAAAAAATGATTTATTCTACAACATTTTTGTTGGAAATGTATATTTTTTTAGTATTTTATTCGATAACATCACCAACAATATTACTTGCTTAAAGTGGGCAGGGCTTTGAAGTAAAGGGAAAATGTGGGGTAAAGTACAAAAAAAAAAGTACTAAGCAAGCTTTTGAAAACCTGACCTAATATTTCTTAACCTTTAAGAATCCTAAAACTATAAAAAGTTTACCTTGTTTATGTTTATGGCTTTTAGTAAATGATGGTGTTGTTTACGGTTTTTAGTAAGTGATGTTGTTGTTTACGGTGCTCAGATGAGGAGGAGTCGATAAACTATAAAGTGATTCTTAACATTTTAAAAGTTAGGAAACATTACATAAGGTTTCTGAAGGTTTGTTTGGTGTCCTTTTTAAGTGTTTTACCCCCACATTTTCCCTCTATTTTAAAGCCCTGTCCACTTTGAACCACTAATATTGTGGGTAATTTTGTTGGTTAAAATACAGTACTTGAAGAATATGAATTTCCAACGAAAATGTTATGGAATATATTTTATATTTTTTCTCTTTCTCCCTAAATGTGACTCAATATATAAGTAGGTGTTGGCACCTTCTTATTATTAACCCGTGACCTAACCAACTAAAGAACTCTGCCTAACTTTACCTAACTTCCTAGGCCCCTAGACTCCTTGCCATATTAAATACAAAGTACTTACAGGTATTCTGATATCTAGTACTGCACCAATGAAAGCAACTTTGTTGAAGCGTCATGTTGTAATTTAAAATTTTTTGTGGACGCGAGAGTTTGCTTGGACTAGTGGGATGACCCGGTTGTAAACAGAATAAGCAGACAACATGTGCTGACTCGGCAGATTTTTCGAAGGTGTATTTATGGTAAATAATCTTGTTTTTTTCACGTACAAAACACACAGAAACATCATGTTATTGTTATATGATCAGTTTTTCATCATGTTTCACCCTGCAATTTTTCCTCATCCTTCATGCCCTGTCCACTACAGGTGATTTATGATTGGAGATAGAGAAAAAAACTTATTAAAATATAAATACTGTATGTTGCCTCTTTTAAAAGACTTACCGTACTGTAATAAAAGACTTATAATGATAGAAACATATGTGAAAAATATGAACAAAATATAAAAAACTTCTGGTTGTAGCGCTGTTCTCATAAATTACCATAGGGTTTGCTAGTGCAATTTTGCGTTGTTTCAAACGAATCTTACCTTCATTTCCATCACAAATGAGCCTTTTTTCCCTTGAAAATCGACCTAACCCCCGGATCCCCTGCCATATTAAACAGAAAGTACTGTAGTTATTTTGATATCTGGTTCCAATGAAAGCAACATTCTTGAAGGGTCATGGTGTATTTTAAAATTTTTTGTGGTACTGAGAGTAAGCTTAGACCGAACAGGTTGATTGTAAACAAACAGCAGACAACAACACGTAACGACAATGGCAGATACATATAATGTTTGATGGTAAATATATTAAAAACTAAGCATTTGCACAAGAAATATTACTCTTAAATATCGATTTGTGATTAAAAAAAACATACTTAGGGTAATTAAAAGCACTAAAAGTGGAATGGGTGTTATAATTGACAATTACCTGTACAGGCTTACGGTACCCCAATAACCGACACATAAAGGGACCGTGAAAAGTTGTTGGTTAGTTAATCAATGGTTATCGAAGCAATTAATCCTTTAAGAATATAAAAAATTCAAGGGGTCAGGAACTGGCCACCCCACAAAAACTCCCATCTACCCTTGATATATCTCCGTCGTGCAGCGTTGCCGATTGTAATGAAAAACGTCCATATGTTTATTTTATAATTTTTTTAAATTTAATTTGCATGCTGCCTCATAAATATTATTTTTTTGTGTGAAAAAATTAATTATGTATATCCAGTACGTGGCTGCAAGACCGATCTGAAGTATTGTGACAGCACTGGGAGTGAGTACACTTGGCAATACAGGGGGTCCCCGACTTAGGAACGGCCCCTGATGTGAACAGGGTTATACATGAAATTTACAGTATTTTATTTACCTGATGACTTATCTTTTTACTTTCATATACAGGTACTGTACTTTGTCATTCTTTTTTCTTTTGTCTTAAATTACCGCAAGTGGTTTTAGATGTATATAAGGACTTACGCTATGATATAGTGGTATTTTAAATATTGTTCTGACAGTACAGTATGCACATAGCATGTGATCCGACTTATATACAAATCTGACTTAAGAATGTCCTTAAGAACAGAACCCGTTCGTAACCTGGGGACTCCCTGTACTGCATCAGCCCAGGATTTAAATGCCGTGAATTACCTTTAAACGGGGCGAGTTGCCATTTTTTACTAGTATTTCTTGTTTTCTAAGGTCATTTTGTGGTGTTTGGGTCATAAAACATAAATTAGTTTTTTCTCAACCATTGGAGTACCATGTACTGTATGTATGTGACCTTTTACAAGTCAAAGTGTATACATTACAGTACTGTACTGTATATCTTGAAAGGTTGTTGAGGGAAAAAAATGATTAAATGAAACAGCCTTTACTGTTATACTGTATATTTTGGAATTTTGCAGGTCGAGGTATCCACAGCAGAGTGGCCATACGTTGAGCGACTTTTACCTTATACAACTATACCAAAGCCATCAAGCAACCCAGGTAAATCCTTGGTTTTTCCATCTTTTACACTTCAGGTAGACTTCAGGGGATATCACACTGGGCAAAATTTTTGCCTTTCTCAGTACTTGTACTCATTTTCCCTTTCTTAGTCAGAAAAACAACTTTTCCTATCACACACTCATTTGTGGCACTTCGCATATCACCTTTGCTCGGAACAAAACAATAACAAATATGGAGGGTCATATAAAAGCTTTGTGCTGTTTTAAGCTTTTCTTGAGAAACAATGGATGTCTGAAATCCCACAACACACTGCATTCCCTCACTTTAATATAAGGAAAGTTTCAGTCTCTTATCCAAACAATTTGGAAGGCTTGAGAATCTATGTTGGCTGTGCTCACAGTGGATGTAAGCAAAAGTCAAATGAAATGATATCCGTGATTTTCATTTGTATGTACAATCTGGTTTAAAAGTTTCCTCCCTCCCAAAATGAAGCAGCACCAGGCTCAAATGAGATAAAACAGTTAGGGTAAGTCAGTTCGGAGACTCGTTCTCATGACTCACTTTCACCACGGGGAGTGAACTTTTGTTTGTGACTGTAATGTACTGTGCTGTATAAAAAATATTCTACAGTTATACCGATTGTAAATGTTCTGGCAAGTTTTGAATCTGGTATTCAAAATAGGCCTAAAAAAATTAAGAACGTTTAGGAACATCTCCTGGGGTTTAAGGGTTAATTACAGTATACCCTTAGGGTCGGAGAAAATCTACTGTATCAAGAAGTAAAATGTAAAGAATACAGCATTTGACAAATAGTGAAAGCAAAGGGAAATTAATTAATTGAAAGATGTGTGTGAATAATTTCTAAAAGATATTTTTTGAATCTTGTTAATTCTTGGCAATTTGTGTTGCAGGTGAAGTAACTCCATCAGGATGGGTAGCACCATCGGCCCAGCCAGGAGATTACCCTTACTTTGTTCCCCGTGCAGCCAGTCACATGATGCCTGTCTATGTTGAACATGAACCCATTCTGAATAGGTAAGTAGGATGTTAAATATATATATATATATATATATATATATATATATATATATATATATATATATATATATATATATATATATATATATATATATATATATATATATATATATATATATATATATATATATATATATATATATATATATATATATGATATATATGCATATATATACACAGCGTTAGCAGTCTGATCATGGGCTTTATGGGTTCGAATCCTGGCGGGTTGAGGTGTTGATTATATATATATATATATATATATATATATATATATATATATATATATATATATATATATATATATATATATATATATATATATATATATATATATATATATATATAAACTATATATATATACAGTAATACCTTTATTTGATAGTACAGTACTGTACAATGTAACATCTTTGTTCATTATATAGCTTGCAGATAAGTGGAAAAGTAGGATAATACCTTTGTTTAGAAAATAGGTAAGTAGGATAGTATACGAGTACTGTAGTCCCTTTGAGTGATGATTTGCCCATAGCTATAGTGTATGGTATATTATGAATAATTTGTATATGAAGGCATTTTAGTAGACCGTAACCCTTTCGTTCATTGGTGACTAACTGCACGTATATGGTTGCTCGATAATATTGTTGATACTAAATAGTAAATAAATGGTAATATCACAATTATGAAGCAATTTTGTTGATTCCTATTATAAATATCTAGAATACTGTAAAGTAATTTTTTGACCTGTTTTGGTTGGTTGTACTTGGAAGGTTGGCATATTTTTTAAAACAAACTCACCACTGATAGGCTAAAAATGGATTTGTAGTAAATTTTTTAAGATGATAATTTCTTCTATAATGTGTGTTTTCATAGTGTGATTTGCTTATGATGCGATGAATGTATTAAGGAACACGTTTTCTATAATGTGGATGTGATTTGGATATAACGTGATTGAGTATATGGAACTACAGGTCTGTCACTCAAGTAGTAATAAACGGTTATGTGGTCGCCTCGGCAGAGCATCATACAAGGCAGGACCCCGCAGTTTTTGTTTATCTTCCATACGCATTAGACGTCTGTTATAGTGGACAGTGTTTTATCTTAGTATAGTAACTGTATATCAACAACTTCAGTGCTTTTAATTACAATGCATGGTAGTGTTGGTAGTGGAAGTGCAGTAAAATGAAGAAAAGCTATTACAGGGGGTACTCTTGAAAACAAATTTGATGTGATAAAGTGGTCTGAACCCTCACCTTCATTGTCAGACTGATTCCATCTCTTTCTCTTCCACCACTCTCAAATGACCACCTTCTCTTTTTGTGGCGAGTGTTAAAACATTCTTCGAAGTTTATTTACATTTCTTATGGTTATTTTTTAATTTAAAAAGATTTTACTGTTAAAAGCTGTTAAGTGAGCCACACTCCACTACTCATTATTTCATGTAGCACACAGTAACAAACATTTTCCACCTTCTCATGTTTTTATTATATTAATGAATGATAGTATTAAACTAAAACACAGTTATTATAAAAAACTAACAAAAAACAAACAATAAAATGAAAGTGAATCCTATGTTGGTCCCATGTCAGTCATGATGGTGTTCTTAAACCTACTACTGTACCCCTAACCCCTTAATTCCCATTAATCAATGGTTACTACAAAGCCATTTTTCTATAATGCGATGTTTTACAGGAACGCAACAACCATGTTACTGGAGGACTGAATGGACTTAGATTCTATATGTATCTTGCCTATGCTAGCATAAGTATTTTGGATGAAGTAGCATGCACCATTCATGCTCCTGATTGTTAAGTCTCTGGAGACATATTTTGTTTCCAAGTAGTCAGTCAGTTCTGCTATAACGCGATAGTTGTGTTCTTGTGAAACATCGTGTTATAGAAATTCGCGTAATATAAATAACAGGGCTTATGGAGAAAATAGGGTTAGGTGCAGATTACTACTCGAAATGGAAAAAAATTTAGTAGTTAGCCTAACACAAAGGATAGCACAGTCTAAATAATTGTTACATTCATATCTAATAATGAAATCATACAGTAAATGTAACATTTTACCTTGAAAAAATATGAATATAACTTGATGGGGGGGAGAAGGGTGATTTTGAGGTAGATAACATCGAGCTTCTCTTCAAGGGTTATAGCCTTTCTTTTACGATCATCACTGGGAATGCGATCACCAGAACGCTTCTTAGAGATATTCTTCTTTACCATATTCACAGTTACTACCACAAAATTGGAGAAATAGTAAGCAAAAATCGCATTACAGCAAACAAGCGTTCGCGTTATACAAATATCGTTCCTCTATTCATAAATCGCGTTAGAGCCAATTTGCGTTGTCAAAGCACGCGTTATAGCAGAACTCACTGTATTGGGGGTTGTTTGTAATCCCACCGTCGAGCTGCTTTCTGAAACCATTTTCTACCACTTGATCCCCCAGTTACTTGGTGTTAAAACCTCTTCTGGAAGATTGTTGCCTTCTCCTTTTTGGGGCGATGTGAAGGGAGAGTTTGGCTTTTACAAGCTAATGATCTGTGTCACAGTGGTCTGCGCTATGTATGGCTCGAGTGATGAGGACATCTTTGAGATCTCTTCTCTGACAATAATGAGGTCAATGACATGCCAACGTTTGGATCGTGGGTGTTGCCAAGAACTATTGAACTTGTCTGCCTGCCTAAACAAGTTGTTTGTGATAGTGAGGCTATGTTCAATACACTTGCTGAGGAAGAGAAGGCCATTGGGATTACACTTACCTACTCTGTTTCTTCGTATGGTCCCCTGCCATAAGCGAGGGTATCTCTGCCATTTCTGGCTTTAAAGTCACCAAGGAGCACTACCTTATCTTCTCTGGGGATAGAGGTTAGCACTCTGTCAAGGTCAGTGTAAAAGGCTGCCTTGATGTCATCCTCTGCATCCAGTGTTGGAGTGTTTGCACTGATGAAAAAGGCATGACATAAGTTATTCAGTGGGACTTGGAGCTTCATGAGGCACTCATTGATCCAAACAGGTATTTCAGTTACCCTTTGTAGGATGAATTGGCAAATGGCAAAGTTAACTCCATAAATGTGGTTTTTCTCTGTAGCAGGCCAACCCTTCTAGAAGAAGGTATAGCCGGACCCCTGTTCTGTGAGTCTGGACTCACTAATGGCTGTGATGTCGATGTTGTACCTAGACAGCTCTTTTGCCACAAGGTAGGTTCTTCTTTCAGGATGCTCATTTGTGCCAGTATCCAGAAGGGACCTGACATTCCATGCAGCGACCATAAGAGGTTATATAATTTGTTTTTGCTTTGATTTGTGATTATGTTTTTGATTGCATTAGGATGGCCTTACTGGGTGCAGTTGGCCCGTCAGGTTGTTTTTTAGGCAGGCTATGTTTAGGGCACCTTTTCTAGCCCCCTCCCCATATGGGATGAGCAGAGTGGCTCCTGGAAAGGGCTGCTCAGTCGCACAGACAAGACTGGATTGCACTGCTTCCCAGATCCCAGTGCATAAATGACCGTCTTTATCTATGCTGCCCATGTGCAGAGTTGTGAGTAGAGACTCCCGGCAGTCATCTCTGCATGTCTTCATTGCCACTTGTTTGTCACCATAGGACTTTTGGGGGGGTACAGGGTTTTAATGATGATGAGAGGTATGTTGAGCTGGATGATGTCTGCGCGTGAGTTCATTTATGTGGTGAGGCAGCAGTGCAGACTGCAACCACATATCTTGGCTCTCCCTTTTCCTGATCCAGTGGTGCAGGTAGCTGCAACAACTGGGGAGAGGGAGAGTTTCAATAACCAAGTTTGTTGGGTTTTGCCTCAGTAGCTTGTTCATCTTGCATTGCCTTCATCCTCCGGTGTAATCGTTGGGTTCCCATGTTGGACACCTCTTCTGCCTATTCTGCTGTTGGGGGTCTTACTGGAGCTCTGTGGTAATGAATTGTAGTTACTGTATACAGTAGTACAGTAAGTTCTATAGCTTTCATCCTAGTAATGCACTCTCAATATATATTTCCATTTTGTTTAGAAGTGACATATTATGCAATGCTTTCTTGTAGCTTCAGATTTAATTCTGAAAATTCTTTATAATGAATGTGCCATTAAGTATGAAAAAAACTCGTTGGCATCAGCATTATGAATACGTAATCATATACAGTACTGTATATCAGTATCCCCAGTATCCCCCTGAGGGGGGAAATTCCCCCCTGGTTGAGAACCCCTGCAGTATACAGTATGCATCCATCTTCTTCAGCTTTCTTATTTTATTGTTTTATATTATTTTTTTCTTTTCTAAGCCACATTCAATCAGAGTATAGTACTGTCCTCATACCCGAGGGTTAGCCACCATAATCCTCCACTTTAAACATTTTCGTGCAGTTTTTGTCTCTGGGGACCCAGTTTTTAATTTTATACATGCATCCCAGTTTCTGCCTTTCCCTGGCTCTCCCACCCTCAACTTTGGCCATTAATATTTCTGCGACTTTCCCATCATCCCTAATATATGAACGAAGTACAGTATTTCGTTTTTTCTGTACATTTCAAGTATTTTTTTTTGTGCTAATATCAGTATTTCTCATTTGTTTTCCTGTCAGTGTAGCTTATTCTTAGCTTTTGCCTATAACACCACATTTCAAAGGCCTCCAACCTCTTTCTGGTTTCTACTGACAGTGTCCACACTTCTGACCCATACGTCAGGCCTTTCAGTAGCCTTTTTCTCAAATTGAAGTTAATGTCCATTTTCATTTGGTCTTTTAACTTATTAATTGCTGTTTTTGCCTGCCTTAGTCTTATTTTGATTTCTTTCATACATCTATCATCACAGTTAATGTTACAGTACTTCCCAAATACAAAAATTTTTCCACTTGTTTAAGTTCATTGTTGCCTACCATCATTATTTTAGGATTTTTTTTCAAATTTGGAAACAACCATTACCTTATTCTTTACAGCATTAACTTTCAAACCATATTTTTCACCTTTTCCTTTAATCTGTTAATGAGTTTTTGTAATGCATCTTCACTCTGTGATAAGAGCAATGTCATCTGCCGAGTGTATACAGTACAGTATTTGATACCATATTTTACGGCATGTAAGACGCTTTTCTTTGTCTAAAAAATGGCTCGGAAAATCCGCCTGCGTCCGATATATATGAAAAAATTCTGCAACCTGAGTTTCCGTAATGGGGACAATATTGGCCAATTGAAGCTTATGAGCACTCTGAGCCTACCCACCCATGCGCCTGGCATGTGTCCTCAGACTCCTCACGTCAGAAACTTTATGCAATCTCTCGGAAATTCGTTAGAATGCCTGGAACAGAGGGATTTTCTCGGAATTTTCTGGAAATGCACGGATGTAATCTCTTGGAATGGAGAGATTTTTCCTGGAATTTCTTGGAATGCTGAAACAATTTTATCCGGCAACTGGAGAGTTTTGAGGATCGAAGATTCCAGCTAATAGTGAGATTACTACTCTCACCAAATACTGTAGTTGTGTCACAAAGACTATTCAGATACAGTGGGTTAGATCCCTTTTACAATATGAGCATGGCTAATTATTATATACTTGATTGATTTATACGGGAAATTATGACTAGACTACAGTAATAAATGGGACTAATGAAACCCAACCCAATCTGAGAAGAGTTAAAAAAATGAAAGACATAATGAGTACTGTATCATTATTGAGGTTGTTTATTTACTAGCTTGAGTGTTTGAAAAGAAGTGGCTGAATATTGAAATTATGGGACTGTACAGTATTTGCAATCTTAATATAGTGATTATTATTTGAGTTTTATGCAGGTGTGCAGACAACTGCATTAAAAAAAATATATTTCCCGTCTCATGCCTTTTCCTGCCATAACATAGATTGACAGGCATATACTCACAGGTTCTCTCTATTTGCTGTTACTTGTATTCATTTATTGTTCTTGCTGTAATAGGTGTCTTCTGGGACATTTCCCTTCCACAACAAGGCCCCAGATTTTTATCTTGTTTCCCCCTGTTGCTTCACATAATCTAATATTATCCCAGGCAGCATGTTTGTCTCCAAAAATCATTGGATGCGGTACTCTTAAGTCAGTCATGCACATGGTTGCTTCCTAGGTGTCCGTTTGTGTAAACAATATGATTATTTTTACGCTGATTGTCAGAATTCAGTACTGTATGATAAAAATTCTGGTTACAGGTGTAATTCTATTTTAGAAAATAAGGTATTTGCCCATTTCTTAAACATTCAAGACAGTAAGTCCGAAGAGGAATCCTGAACACTAGGTTATTTTTCAGTAATCCGACAAATGGATTCGTCAAACTCGAACTGCATCTTTGATGAGTCCATTTGTTAGGTTACTTAAAAATAATCCGAAGTTTTGGATTCATCTTCAGATTTGCTACCCCAAATGCTTAAAGAAATGGGCGATTGTGTAGAGTACAGTACTAAGAATGTTCCTTTAAGACGACAGTTGGATTCCCTTTTAGATTTGTGACAAGAGTGAAACATGTTGAAGGTGATATTTTTGCACTGGGTGAAGAACTACAAGAACACTTGACTCGGCTTTTCCCTTCAAAGTACATCATCCTCCGTGTTCATGAACCTCATCAGGTGATACACATTAAAGGACAATTTGTGGGTGCTGTTAAAGAATTTCTCTTTAAGAAAGGATTTTAAATATATCTAATATTTAGGTAGACAGTAGTGAGTAAACATTTCAATAGTCAGTTTTACCTCATTATCAAAAACACTCACGATTCAAGAAAATTATAAGAAACTCTTGTATTCTTTATTAAGTAGACTCGGACAAATATAGCATACAAATGTGTTGGCAAGGTTTGCACAGTCCTCTTATATGACATGTCTAAAATGATTCTGGTCAGGGGGTGAAGTGACCTGGTAGTGCATTGCATTTACACCACAAGACTACTCTACACTCATATGAAGCAAATTTAAAATTACAAAGCACTGGTTATGATTAGTACATCAAAGCATAGCAGATTTTGCCATGTATACTGTACTTGAAACTATTTTGCTTCTTCTTGATTTGTACTTAAGATTAATTGGTGTGCTTTATTTGATTGAAGATCAGGAGGGCAGAGTTTATTGATAAATTTGTAGATGTAATTTGGATGTCGTCATAATCAGTAGGTACACGTTCAGTTAGGAAAAGCAGAGTCTGAACCTAAGTTAGCTACTACAGTAATGTAGATTTGGCATTTGTATGTTGCTGTACATCTTGTTTGTTGTATATAATTGAATGATATTTTGACTTAGGGATGAAGTACAATATTGCGACAGCTGTTGTACTTACAGGACGTTTTGCAAATAAAGATATTGGATATATAGTAGTCTTTTTTTCCCTTTTTTAATAATACAGTAATGGTTATTACTAGGTCCATATATAATCTTTATACAGTGAACCCTCGAAGATCCGGACTAAAAGGGGGGACTGCCTTTCCGGAATAGCCGATTGTCCGGATTTTCTGGCGAATAATAAATTATATAAGAAAACACCAAAAATACAGTACTAATGTAATGATAAACAAATTACCATACGTATATAAACCATGCATTTACCTATGATAACATAAGAAACAATTGTATCATTACTAGAGTGAATGAAATAATATTCCCACAAACAACAATTGTCAACTCTGTTTATGATACCCACCTCCTCGGGCACCTGTGTCCAAGCAACTGACGGGTCAAGCAGTGCCCACGGGCCTAAAATGTTCTTTGCTCTGGTTTGGGAATGTTTCTTAGGGAAATTACTAGGAGGCTTCTTAGCCCAGAACCCCCAAATTTTTTGTCCGGATCTTCCGAAATCCAGATTTCCCGGGTCCGGATCTTCGAGGGTTTACTGTATAGTACAGGTTGGACCTCATTAATCCGGGAAGCTCATTAATCCGCGAAGCTTGTGACCAGACTAGTTCCAGATTAGCGAAAATTCCGAACCATCGAAGCTGAGGTTAAAAAAAAAAGACAAAATAATGCATAAAATGTACTATTACTGGTACCAATACAACTGGACCTCTTTATGACAAAGTGTTAGTGCTATGGTACACGTTTACTGTACTGTTACACAGAAATAAGTAGATTAGCAGAAAAAGCAAAGAGAAAATTGTATATTATAGGTTGGGAAACTAATGACGGCCAGATTCAAACACAGTACCGAGCCTTCGAAGCTGCCGGACTATCGGGTCCCAGATTAGCGGGGTCTAACCTGTACCAACCATTATGGTCCATGTGTGAATCAGGGAATTAGGGTAAATATATCGGGCATTATGATAAAATATTGAAAATGAAAAGTTATGGTTAAGATGACAGTGGCTTCTACAGTATAGGCCTGGTGATTCATTAGGAATAATGCAGATGTGACTAGCTGTGCCATTTGCTCTCTTATTTCTTTTTATTGTCATACATTGTAATCGGGTAAAAAAACTGACATTTAAGTATAATGTGTTTTTTTTTATCAAACAAGCAACTTGTGTGGCTGAGAGTGCCTCCTTGATGAGGTAGACAGGAAAACAGGATAAAATACTTGCTAGTGAAATGTGTTTAGTGGGTGTACAGGTGCTGCTTTGAATCTTCAAAGAGAAGTTATAATATTTGTTAGTAATATCTCCGTTAGCCGGAATCCCTCAACCCCGGAACTCTCCAATAGCTGGAATTGAAATTTTCTTTGAAAATCATTCCCAAAGCTGGAATTTTCCAGAAAAATTCTAGCTTTGGGAATGATTTTCCAAGGGGCACATTTTCACAAAAATTCCAGTGATAGAGAAGTTTTTTTCCGGGTCTGAGAGATACAAATCAGACGCATTTTCCTGAAATTCTGAGAACATTTTTCCGGTACCCGGAAAATTCCGGGGATAAGGGATATTTTTCCAGGTTCGAGAGATGATGTAATGGGCAATTTCTGGAACTTCTGAGAAAATTTTTCCGTTACCCAGAAAATTCTGAAAAATTCCGGGGATGAGGGATATTTTTTAGGGTTCGAGAGATGATGTAATGGCCAATTTCTGGAAATAAAATATCATTTACAAGAATAATGTAGAAAGAATGAACTGTAATTGTATGAAAACAAGGTGAAAATAAACATAAAAGTGTGATTCCCTGTTGGCCACTGTAATGATTTGGTACTTTGCCTTGCACAGGATGTGAGGGGGTGTCCAGTTAACTAGCCCATGCACCTGTGTGGGGGCAAATCTGAATCTGAAATTCTACCTACTGTAAACTTATTTTCATAATTTACACTCTTTCTGTATTACTGTAGCAAAGAAATTTATTACTAAATAAAGTTCAACAAAATTCATGATATTTGTTGTTAAATTCTACTTCATGACCATGCACCACTAAACTGATCTAACAAATCCCAAGACACCATATTGTAACTATTCATTCCTCATAAAGGACACTGTTTGTGCTCACTGCTGAGCCAACATAGTTCTTTGCTTCACTGTTGTTATTCCAGTTTTATTTTGACCATAATTTAATTACCAGAGGAATTCCAAATCTGGTGTTGTGATGCTCCTGCTGTTCAGACAACCAGTAATTCAATGAACTGTATTGTACTGTACTGTTGTTGTATATTTTGGTACAGGTTGTACCTCTCTAGTCCGGCATTCTGTGGTCCGGAAACTCCCGTGGTCCGGAACGATTTTAGTTTGTCCAATAAGTAGATAGGCAGCTTCTTTTTTTTTTTATCTGAGTTATTATTATTATTACAGGAGTATTAAATTTTTGCCCCTCAAGCCCCAATGTGGGTCAGTGACCTATGCCCGGGTGAGCTAATCCCCGTAAAAAAAAAAAACAACAAAGCCGAGGGAAATTAAGGTTTGTTTACATCCGGCAGTTCGGCTGCTCTCTCTCTCTCTCTCTGCTTGTCTATACAGAGTACAACAATTAACCCTTCAATATATATGAGCAGTAAATAAGTGTTGCTTTCATATTCCTATGTAGAATAATGACGATATGTTTTCACATGTGCGCACTTACATATGCGGTCTCACTTTTTTTACCATTAATGGTTAGCTACTTATATTGTTCCATTTATTAACATTAAATAACGTTACAGGTACTTCAAACAACCATATTAATTTTTTTACATTAATTTTACTACAGCTACAATCATGGTCTTATTTTCTTCAGTTTTATATGTAGAACCAATGTCACTGGTTTTGTAAGCTTTAACATAAACAATGCCGGCAGCCGTCTCGTCTCCTCGTGTGTTTTAATATTCCACGTATTATTAATAAATTGTATTGTTAATTTTGCACACACAAACATTAATTCAATAATAACAAATTCAGAAACATAAATTAAAATATATATGAACAGTAAATAAGTGTTGCTTTCGTATTCTTATGTAAAGTAAAGACGATATGTTTTCGCATGTGCGCACTTACATACGCGATCTCTCTTTTTTCTTTACCATTATCGTTAGCTACTTCTATTGTAACATTTATTAACATTAAATAACATTACTTAAAACAACCCATATTAATTTTACTACAGCTACAACCAAGGTCTTATTTTCTTCAGTTTTATATGTAGAACCAGTCAGTCACTGGTTTTGTAATCAACGAAAACAATGCTGTCTCATATCCTCGTGTTTTAATATTCTACGTATTATTAATGAATTGTATTGCTCATTTTGCACACACAAACATTAATTCTATCAAAAAGACTTTCAGTAATAAACAATAATGAATCTTTTGTACATAAGAGAAATGACGCTTCTTACACGATTGTGCACGTCGTCTGAACGTTGGTGGGCCGTTCAAACCCGTCGAAATTTGAGTTTCCGCCGTCAAAATTTTTAAATGTGTTGTTTTTTTTGTGTGTTCAAATAGAAAACGTTGAATTAAAAACTCGTGAAATTTGAGAAGCTACTGTACGACATTTATCCCTTCAATATGTCTTCAAAGAGACCATGAAGCAGAGAAAGTGGTGCTAGTGCTTCCAAGCCAAGTCACTATCTATCCAGGAAAAGGGTGAATTTCCATGGTCCGGAAATTTCCATGGTCCGGCACCGGTCATGTCCCGAGGTTGCCGGACTGGTTCGTTGTGGAGAAATATGATTCTTGAGCATATACTGTTGAAACTTCAGTCTAGTTTCCTAATTAATGACAAGAAATATTTATTGGATGTTAGCCATTATAGTTTCTTTCCAATCAAGCAATTTCTGAGAAAGCAATTGTGATGAAGATATGACCATCTCACACATCACTTCTCAGTATACATAAAAAGGATGACAGAGATGCATATTTTTCAACAAATTTTATTTAAAATAAAATTTTTATGGTTGAAATAATTTTAACAGGATTTTCATATCACAGCTTCCTAACACTATCACTAATTGCATTATTCCTTGTGTAGTTAAGGTAATGCAGTATATTAAGCTTGAAGTACTATATCCTGCTCTGTATGAGGTCAGTATATAGGTACTTCTATTGTCACTATGGAAAACTAGATTGTAAGTTACATATGATAGACTGGTCATGCATTAAAGTGACAACAATGTGTCATGCAGTTGTGAGTTTATACCAGTTGGAGAGTTACACATGAAGATGATGTTACACAGACTGTCAGTGATGATTTAGTGACAAATTTGAAGTGGACACTGTGTTCTTTAATTTTAACTTTATGCCTGACTTGAATGTTTCATGCATAGTCAACAAATCTAGCTTTTGAAAATTCAGAATACGTGAAATATTACTTGGATAAAGGTGCTGTTGAAGAATGACCAAAACAAACAACTAAAGCAACCAATGACCACCCCACCTTCCTTTCTTGGGGGCACCTGAAGATGGAATGGGAGGGGGCCAGGGCAGTGTACAATTATTTTTCAGCAGATAGCACTAAAGGCTGACATCATTTAATTTCACTGTCATACTTGCACCAGTTAACTTCACAATCATTATTGTTCAACTACAATAAGAAGTGAACTGTACAGATGTCAGCAGACTTAATTTTTGGGCATCCGCTTGTTTCTCCATAATTCCCTTTGGGCACTTATCCCAGTCTTAGGTGTTAAGATAATGGCCTATTTGTTTTTATCGTCATTACAAAATGTTTACAAGTGCTTCATGACCCACTCTGTGGTTGGTTGACAGGTTGGTACAGTATGTGAAGTCAACACCACCCAGCAATGTGACCTTACTTCCTGGTATGGTCATTCAGCCTGTCTTACAATACTGGTAATTTTATTCAGAAGCAGGATCTTGCCTACAGGATATTAAGAGAATATACCAGGATAGTCAAGATAGATATTTAAGTGATTGGTTTAGTGGGACTCTAGTTATCCCACCTTAGGGGTTCTTGATTGTTCATATAATATTTTATAACCTAAACATATCTCGAATGACTTATGTATATGCATATCATAGGCTCAGGGCATGGAATATCTGCCTCTTTTCCATCATTAGGTATTATTGATTCTTCTCTTCTAAATGTTCTTTCCACGAGAATATGCTCTCATATTTCTGATAATATTCTTCCCTGAGTATACTGTATGGTATTTTTTTTTATTCTGCTACTGTTGCTACTTTCGCCTCCCCTCAGTTTCTTTTTTCTAAAAAAATCAGTTTCACAATCTTTCCTTCCCTAGAATCTAATACCATATTCCTGACATTATTACTATCTTCTATATACGTATTCCCATCTCCTCCTCCTCTCATTCATCCACTGGAAGATTTTTCTCCATGCTTTCCTTTCTTTACAGCTGCCAGTTTTATATAGTATTTTTGTTCCTTTATACACCTCTCTTTTTTATTTCTAATTACCATACCTTTTTCACAAACTGCTACAGTACCTTATTTATAACCAGACAGCTATTCTCCTACAATTTGTTTATATTTTCATTTCATTCTTTGTCTCTTACACTTTTATCTATCTTTCTATGGTGTTTGGGTATATATACTGTACTGTACTGTACTGGTTGAAAACTTTTACACTAAAATTCTATAATAAATCCATACAGGCAAACCCCAATTTATGAGAGGGTTGTATTCCTCAAAACCTCTTATAAATTGATTTTTCATAAATCGATGTACATTTTCCTATAGACTCCCATTATAAATGTTGAGATACTTTCTTATGATTTTTTTTTAAATGTCACAAAATACTAAGACATTTGCCTGGTGAAAATATTTGGTGTACACAAAGCTTATAAGCCAATAATAAACAAAATAAAGAAAACATGTACTACAGTACTGTACAGTATTAATTTTATAATGTACTGTACCAGTATTTACGAGAAGTCCGATGAAATTTGAAATAAAGGGAATTTTATGAAACACTGAGCCAACATCGAAAAAAAAAACTAGCACTGTTCCTGCAATTATATTAGTTTACCATAGTGTAATACATTGACTCCCATTATGTACCTATAATTGGAGATACTGTACATTCTCTAGAAAAAATCTCACGCTTTGCTGCTGATACTGTATATATAAGTACAGTACGGTACGTACAATACAGTGACCCCTCGTTTAACGAACGCCTCGGTTAACGAAATTTCGGTTAACGAACTGCCTTCCATAAGGATCTTCAATTCGGTTAACGAACAAAAATTCGGTTAACGAATTTCTTACGAACCGACCTCAACATGTTTTCGCTTGCACTGGCCGGGCAACCAGCTTTAGTATCAGTCCACCAATACATTAATCGGTTCTAGGGCTTAAATTCCTAACTATTTTAGTAAATATCAAGAAGTTTATACTATTCAATAATTTTAAAAGTTTAATATTCAATTTTTTAGTCATTTTAACAATTATTGAACATAATTGAAGGTAAAGTGACTAGTTTAAAGCGCAGCATCCAGCCTCTTAACACAGCAAACAGGCGTTAGTGTCTCTGTTTTCACTGGAGGTAACATCTTGCTTGAGACTCTCTTCAACTAAACGCTTTTTTTCTGTGTTTCCAAGCAAATTATTGGTCATTTTGAAATATATTTTACATATTGACAATATATAATGCAGTACAGTGTTGATTTAAAGAAAATAATCTTGAAATACACCAAGAGAACTAAAATTTTATGGGTGAAATGGTGCCATGGGGTGACTTCTCTTCCACCCCAATGCCTTCTCTTCTTCCTTCTCCTCCACCCCCATTGTAATTCCCATCATCATCATCATCATCCAGGAGCCTTCTACATACACACCTCAAAGTAAGTGAACTTTTCTACCATTTTTGTTGAATTTAGGAAATTTTCGGTGAGCTGGAACCAATTACCCAAAAACCCATTGAAACAATGGTTTCGGTTAACGAACTTTTCGGTTAACGAACGACCTTCTGGAATGGATTGAGTTCGTTAACCGAGGGGTCACTGTATTTACATATTTCATATGTTGCTGTCTAACCTCACCTGTCTAATTGCAAGTACCCTGTATAATATGCAAATTCTTTGGTAGTACAGTTTTTAGGTAGATACCCTGTGATCAGTATAGCAGTCCATTTTAACTCATAATTTTGCATTTTTTCATCAAACCTGATAAAAGGAATGTTGTTCTACTCATTGAGTTCTGTTGTAAGGCTCAAACTTTGGCTTTAATGTTTTTTTTATTCATCAATTTCTATCAAATTAATTAGTTAGCTCTGCCCAATTGTACAATACTGTTCAATCTTAAGAAGACACTTCATTTATTTCATGATGCTGTGTTGTATTTGATTACAAATTGTTGAAACTATAATTTATATTGATGATTTTAACCCTATCACTATTTGGCTAATGCCAGATGATTTTATTCAGCACAGACCCCTAGTGCCCAAGGGGTTAAATAACTTTAGGACACACTGCTTAAGGCTACAGAGATTGTTATGGATGTTTCAGTTTTACAATAAAAATCATTGCACTACTGATGCATCACAATGATTGTTCACTTTTTTGGAGTGAGAATTATGAATTCTTGGAACAATCTGCCAGAGAGTGTTGTAATGCACTGAGTGTGAGCTCTTTGAAGACTAGACTTGACCAACACTGGAGCAGGTTCAGATACATTCAGGAGCCAGTGCATGCCCAGTACTTGCCAAAGTGCATAACAGAGACATGACCGACTGCCCAAGCGATTAATGAGCCGATCAGTGTCGAAGAGGATAAAAGTAAAAGTTGAGTGCTTTGAATTTAGTCCACTGGAAAGTACAGTCCTGTGTCAAAGTTGTTTTAAATTGTTCAAACCTGTTTCTGTTTTATTACACAAGGAAAAGTGTTAACTTTTTGGAGACTTGAAAGTTAGTGAAATCCATTTACAAGTGTTCCACATGCTATTTTTGACAAATGATACCATTTACCATCAATTTTTTTTTATGACTGCAATTTACAGTAGTACAGTATTTTACTTAGTGCTGCAAGAAACTTTTGTTTCCAGTCGCAGTTTTCAGCGAGTATTTTCTGCTAAATTCTATTATTGTAGTTCTTTAATATTTGTTTCAATTTGGCCAAAGCATTTTGAGGCAGTTATGTTCTAAACATGTTTTATAAATTTTTTAATCATCTCTGTTGAGTAGAAAAACATTCCTTCTATAAGGGATTATATAAAAAAAATGCAAAGTCATCAAGAAAAATGGGCTGTCCTACAAACTTTTTTATTTGCTATATGACAGTACTGTACATGAATGGATATCAAATAGAGTTGGTCCATTTTTGACACATTACTCGAAATAATAAAATCTTAATGAATGATAGGTTATTACATAAAAAAATAATACTGCAATAAACATTAATCCCTCAGTAGGATAATGTAAAACTAATATTAAAGAAGATGGTGCCTCTACCACAGATGTGGTTCAACCCCAATCTGTTAAAAAAATATAAATTATATTTTGATATATTAGATTAATGAAAAGTAGACAAATAAAAAGCATGACAGTGAAGATTACAATCTCTTTTCACCAAGTAAACTTCATATTCTGCTGATGAATGGGGTGACATTAATGAAGCGAGATGATCCATGGTCCACTTGAGAAAGGACGGGAAAGTTTTATCAGAAACATAACAAATCAATTTGCTTATGCTGTCCCTGACTGTTTCAAATTTAGAAAAAGCTTCACTAGCCTTTACATTGAGCTTATACAGTACAGGAGTGCTTCGATATATGAAAAGGATTTATTATACATTCATGGAAACCTGTTGTAAATAATTTTTTTGTAAATATTAGACATTTTTTGCATCGACTACCATTATATAAATGGAGATGTGTTCCTAAGAAAAAATACTTCTAAGCATTATGTATTAACCATAATAACATTAATAATGAAGTACAGTATCAAGTTTATTATATTCATGTTCTTGTTAGTATGTATGTGAGGCCTAGATTCATAAATTTTTTCCTTCATATCAAGAAAATTGAAGCACTAATCAGTTATAAAATTCTGCCTCTTATTTAGTGGTTGGTTAGCCATACTTTTAGATCAATACATAAACAGTAACACCTAAATATGACACATTATCTGTGTGTTTACTGTACCTGTATATATATAAGCACAGAAACAATGCCACACACTACCCTGCACTACAGTACACTGCTTACTACACGTGTTCAGCACTGGATGCTCTCAGATGCCTGTGTCAGCAACTCGGCACCGGAACTATTTTTTATTAATTTTTTGGGATCATTGAATTTTCGCAAATCAAAGCACTCCTGTACTCAAAGACTACATGTAATGTAGTACAGTATTTGATATGCAGTTAATCACAAGAATAAAATCCAATTGTACATAGATATCATAGGTTTAGTTACCAGTATGTACAATCAGATTACCAAATGCTGACTGGAACTGTAGGTTTCACTTCATGAAGTCAGTACAGTACCTGAATGTACAGCATTTAATTTTTTCAAGATAACTTTAAATAATAAATACAGTAATTTACTGGTCTAGTAAATTAAAAAAAAATAATCTAGAGTTTGTTTCTACTCTTTAACTAACCATTTACAGTATCTTTGTTATTCTTAATTTCATGTCATTTCTGTGAAGTGGATCAAATAGTATCAAGGCTCAAATATTATTTATATACAGTATACATGAAACCTAAGTTTCTTCTGAAAGGATGAAAAGTGCAGTTCTTGTACATCACTACACTGCTTCATCCTCATTCACAATGGACACTTTGATGAGGCACTGTCTTCACTCTCACACTGAAGGTAGTGTACTTCCACCATACAAGATTCTTGCACATTACAGGTACAGTTGTCTCATGTGAGACCACTTTACCCTTCAACTCTTTCTAATATTTCTCTCAAGTATTGTCAAATGTTTTATAATCTCAAATTGTTCATCTTCATCAACATACCATCTTAATAATTATTTATTCATGCAGCTTTATTTTTATTTCTTCCACCCATGTATATTTCTCACAGTTAAAACCCATAGCTTACATACCTAGGTCCCAAATAACAAAGGTTACCATTAATGATACTTACATTGACTAATCACGATCTAACTCATAAATTGGGACAAGAGATTATCTACTAAGAATTGTTTCTCTGAGAAGTGAAAGTGGGTTCTATAAGCCAGATGCCCTGTTAAGGACAATAGATACTGTACAGCGAACTGAAGACTGAGCCTTTGATACACAAGGAAACATTGTGGCCAGCACTGACCTCTACTGTCTCTCACTGCCCTACCTGTAAAATTTGTGAATGAGGGTGCCATACTCAGTGGCTAGTTGAGGGAATTGAACTTGTGACTACTGTATTGTATTGGGAGGCAAATGCTTTTTCTATTTGGCTTCTGCACCTCACAAATATATCCCGAAGTCCTGGTAATTCACGTTTAAGGAACTAGTACTAAATTCTTGAGTTTGATAATCAACATTAATGTGAAGCTTATTTTGTTTTTAGCAAGTGTTCATTCTTAAATAATTGCAGTGATGAAATTCAGACTTTATTTTACCATTTGTAATATCAAATGAATGTGCAAATATTGACTGACTACTGAAAATATACTGTTTTGCATCGAATTTTCTGATAATAAAGTTATTTTAAGAGTATGACCCTTAAATCACCCAATTGAAAAAAAATCACAAGTAACTGGTTGCAGTTCAGCAAATTATCCAGATTTTTTTCTCACAAAACTGATCATTGGTGGATAAAAATTATTTCATTATTTTTGACTGAGTAGTAAATTGTTAGACATGATTAAGCCCTCTTCCTGCCACATGAATACATAAATAAGACTTAAATACTTACACATAATCTCAAAGCCATCATCCTGAATAGGAGTGAACTATGGAAGGGCCATAAAACTATATTAATGTTAAAGTAACTAAACAAAAATCATGGAAGGGGAAGCTTGATGTGCAACATTATACTGACTCACTGTAATGACCTTTATTTATCGGCAGTACTGCTAAGTTTAGATAGTTGTACTGTACTAGTAGCACAATCTAGGAATGCTATTGGAAATGTCTCTTCATCGAGGCAGTGATATTAAGTTATTTTTATACTATGTGTATCTGGTTCACAAACAGAGATTGGTTTAGACATAAAACCTGTTGTTCTGGCTAAAAGTCTTGTGGGTTGACTTATTCCAAATTTTAATCAACAAAGTTACTTGAAGTTTGCTGCCAGTAAAGAAGTTTTTTTTTTTTATTATAATTTTCCACTTTCCACCTGTTGTAGACATACAAAATGTATTTATAAGTTGAGCATCCTGTTAGTATTACCAGCACTCAACATTTAACAATAATATTATAATATCAGTTACTGTATCAACAGGCAGGATTAATAATTAACACAACAAAACCATAAGACTGGATTTTTGGCAATATTTTTAGATAATACCTTTACATGGGTTGCTGGCAGTACTTACAGGGCTATCATTGTTTAATAAACATCATCTGTGTTCAGAGTTTGAAATTCTATCGTCTTATAACACTGCATGAGAAATAGTTCATTTGCTCTCATAATAAATCAAGAACCCTGCAAACGGCACCATTCTTAGCTCAGTGGAACTCTGTATTGTACGGAACCAAATTTTTGCTCGCTGGTCACATCCTGCTTATACCTAGAAAAAGGAAAGAAAGAAATATTAAATAAAAGAAAAAATAACAAATAATGTTTTAAGAGAAAGTAAGCACTTCATTATCAAGAAGTAGGAAATAAACACACTGTAATAAGGCTGGAAGAAAAGCTTGATGATCATACATGTTTATTTTCCTATGGCACACAGACATTTAAAGGTATGAGATGCACAGTCTTTATAGTATAAATGAGGTTCCCATATTTTACAGTATTCTCAAGTCGAACATAACTTTGGATATTGAATCATTTGAGGAACAAAGTAAATTTGTTATTCCATTAAATAAAGCCGCGTTCATGTTTACTACAGTTTCCAAATTGGTCAGCAGTAATGTTTTTCTCAAACCAATATACCTATTCAGTGTGAAGTTATGGGAAACTTCTGTACAGGGTCTATGTAAATAGTTTTTAGTGTCATTGAATTAAGAAAATAATCATTGCCAATGAATTGGCTTTCTTTTTTACTACAGCAGATGAATGTTAGGCCTCAAAGTTGTCGTTAAAGAAATAGTGGTGCTGTAAAATGAAGAAGAGTTCCCCCAAATATAACTACATGTATTCATTACATTAACACTATGAAAAATTTTCTGTACAAAATGGAAATACAGGTACTGTAGTGCTTTTTATTAAAGAAACACTGTACACTGTAAATCAGGGATTACCACAGAAAAAACTCCAGTCACACTGTCACAATAGGATTTGTAAACTGGATTACACACCTGTACACAATCAGTCACAGCAGACTATTGTAACATAAATTTTTACTAAAAAGCAAATGTGACTACTGACAGCAAGGACAAAGCTGTGTAATTTGAAATTGATTTTGTTTACCATCAATGAATCTCCAAATGTGATAAATGCATAAAACTTTACATTTTGTGAATTTATAAGCGTGGCAGATAAAGTTTTTAAAGCACTAAACTTCATGCATAGTGAGATGCAAGACAAGCATGTCAAACCCGTACACTTAAACCTCCATGTGATGATCTCTGGTAGAGTATATTTGTACCAATGCTGTTTTACGGTTTGCTTGTTTGGACACGTTTTCTTAACCCTTGTTTGACAAGCTAAGAAGTTTTTATTCTGAACCCTTAATTGTTTTGCAATTTTTCCCTGATAAATACTGTAATAAAACAAAAGCAATACAGTATAACTTTTGGATATTCAACCTATGCCAATGGAGATTAAGATTAATACAGTCCATGTACAGCACTGTACTGAAGTTTACATCATGTAATTACAGTACAGTACTGTACTAGAATTTTGAAAATGCTTATATTGGTGTGCAACATTTCATGGCATAAAACTGTTGTCATTTTAAGAATATGACATTAATGAAAAAGAATATATTTCGCTTAAGTTAATAATTTTATGGATATTTTAACCATGCAGGTAATACTGTACAGTCCACTCAGGTTTGTTGATCACTTGCTACACTAAATCCAATTACAGTAACAGTTTTTTGACAAAAATAATATAGTAGTTTATCTTACTTGTTTATGTATACAGTACTGTAGATGTTTATAGTAAAACAATATTTATTTTCTTCAGAACAATTTAATTATATGCACTGGAATCTTTCTGAGACCGAGAACCTCATACAAATGTAGATAATTTTTAATTATATAATATTTTAACTGTCTTTATACTGTACATACTGTATTACAAGATAGTAAATTCTAATACTGTACAGTATACAGCTTTAAGAGGAACAAGGAACTGTATCTTTATATATTTATATTTCTCATTCCAGCACTTGCTTATGGCAACATTTATGTATACTTTATACACATAATGGATTTTTTTTAAGCAGTTTATTTTTTAAACTATCCAACAGTTGAAACAGTCTTCTGCATGACTGCATAATTCTTAAGTACTGCAAGTAACAGAACAAAACTTCATGTCTTAAGCCAAAGATTTATAGTACTACTACAGTATACTGTACAACATAGGTATCCCTTGATTTGTGGTAGGGTTGTGTTCCTGAAAACTTTATTGTAAATTGAATCATATTTCACTGTTACTATAATAAAGTGGGGAGGTAAGATCCTAAATTATTTTTTTATCTCTCTCTCCAATATGTAATAAAATGACACTGCAACAGAACTTAAATAACTTGTATGTATAAAGATTGAAAAATGCATTACTGTATACGGGCCACCTATCATTGTCTGATTCATTGAAAGATTCTCAGCAAACAAAAGTGGTATGGACACTATATGGGGACACCCAGTACTGGAAAATTGTAGGCATTTGGTACTTCAGCACATGAAAAGAATGATTTCCAATAATAGCTTGTCCCCCTGAGTACAAAATGGTGATCTTCATAGATAATTATGCCAGCTTGAGATCTCATTTCATGCATGGAAATTTCTTGTACCACCTTTAATCAAGATAAGAATTTGACCTTATTATGCTTGTTGGACCATATGGTGAATTTGTGGTTTTAATGTGTTGTGGACACAATTGATAACATCCAACAGTTTGATCTGCAATTTCGTGATTAGTATGCAATGCGATGTTTATAACTGCTCCACTGCAGTTTTATGATTGAATGAAACAATCAAGTACCTTACTAATGCAAGCTAAGACACTAACTTTTCCATATAAGGTTATTCTTGTAACTTTAATGGCTGTTCAGTTATGGATGCTGTTCATTACTTACTGAATAGCCCTCATAATTGGACAAATATACAGTATACTCTCGATTTAATGGAATCTGATATAACGAACTCGATTTAGCAGAAAGTGTTCAGTTATGGATGCAGTTCATTACTTACTGAATAGCCCTCATAATTGGACAAATATACAGTATATACTCTCGATTTAATGGAATCTGATATAACGAACTCGATTTAGCGGAAAGAATTTTTCCCGTTATTTTTCACTTGATTTAGTGAACTAGTTCGCTAAATCGAGATTAATTCCGTTAATAAACTCACAGCTACGGAGACACCTCAGACACATGATATGTACATAGCAACATTAGAAACATTATTCATGACTTACCTTAAACTAGGGGGTTCGATGTTTGTTTTAGAATTTTTTCCATAATTTTTAAACACTTTTCCAATTGATAGCTGCACTCTTTTGATTTTATCCCCCACTCCACTTCCTTTCTGAGACTTCTTAGAGACTTTCGGCATGATGTCTAAGCACAGAAGTTAGTTGACCGAGATGCAGACCAAGAGGTAGCAGTAAACAAACACGCGGTGGCGGCAGGACACAGACTGAGCGGATGTAAACAAACCCCACGCGCCAAACGGCGCATTTGCCACGGATTTTAACGGAATCACGCTCAATTTAGTGAACTAGTTCACTAAACCGTGCGAAAATAACAGAAAAGTAACACAAATTTTGATTTGGTGGAAAGGGGCGGCTTGAATTAGTTTGTTAAATGGAGAAAATACTGTATCTATGTAAAGAAAACTTTTGTCCTGATATACAATAAGCAAGTGAACTATAAGTGAAATATTTAGTGATGAAAATAAATATTACTACTGTACTTGCATTTTTTTTTACATATACAGTACTCAAGGAAGGGTCAAAATGTATGTTTATTCTGTTTCCTAATTCTTTTTATAATGATTAGCACAACAGAAAGGCTACTATGCTTTTAGTTAACTGGTATATATATATATATATATATATATATATATATATATATATATATATATATATATATATATATATATATATATATATATATATATATATATATATATATATATATATATATATATATATATATATATATATATATATATATACATACAGTATTACCCCGCCTAACGCGGTTTCACTTAACGCGTTTTATCATATACGCAGTGCCTCGCCAGAGCTGAACTTTCACTTAACACGGATTTTTTCCACATATACACGGTGAGTGTCCGGCTGGAGACGCTATTTTTAGATTTGCGCCACCCTGCCTGACTGCCTGTTTTAGCTCATAAAATTCATACAAATTACCCGGCCAGAATATAATTTACATTGCTGGAATTCTTATAATTTGGTGATCATTTTGAATATAAACATCATATATTTTGCATTAGACATACAAATTTTAGATAACATTTTTTCTCTGGGTAACTATGTTATCTTTTGTGCAAAATATATGACATTTATATTCAAAATATTCCTGGTCTTACAAGGAATCCAGCAATGTCAATTATATTATCCTAACTTTAGTTTGAGGTATTATTTATTACAAAAAAGTTAAGTATTCTGGTTTTCCCACACATCTCCTTGGGACGGTTGGTGGGGGGTGGGGGGGAGGGAGGGACCGACCGACCATCTGTTACCCCGTGAAGAATATTTTTTTTTTTTTATTAACTGAAGATATTTGTTTTAGCTCATAAAATTCATACAAATTACCCGGTCAGAATATAATTTACATTGCTGGAATTCTTATAATTTGATGATCATTTTGAATATAAACATCATATATTTTGCATTAGACATAAAATTTTTAGATAAAATGTTTAATCTGAGTAAGTATGTTATCTTTTGTGCAAAATATATGACGTTTATATTCAAAATATTCCTGGTCTTACAAGGAATCCAGCAATGTCAATTATATTATCCTAACTTTAATCTGAGGTATTATTTAATACAAAATGTTAAAATCTAAATTTTTCACCCACTCTTCTCTTGAAGGGATGATTGGTGGGGGGTGGGGGGGAGGGTTGGGACTGACCGCGCGGTTGGAAGAGGGGGAAGGCAAGGTGGGGTACTTTGATTGACAGATAGTGTCGTGAAGATTATTATTTTTTTTATTAACTGAAGATATTTGTTTTAGCTCATAAAATTCATACAAATTACCCGGCCAGAATATAATTTACATTGCTGGAATTCTTATAATTTGATGATCATTTTGAATATAAACATCATATATTTTGCATTAGACATACAAATTTTAGATAAAAAAATTTTCTGAGTAACTATGTTATCTTTTGTGCAAAATATATGACATTTATATTCAAAATA